GCCCCGGCACAGGGAGCTGCACGCCCTGCGGGCAGGAACCACGCGGAAAACCAAAGCACTTACGTGCCCCAGCCCTGGGGCTGCCCTTTCTGCGCACGGAGCGCGGGGGGAAGGCACATCCCTTGGGGACAGGGGAGCAGGGGACTCCCAGACCAGCAGGGACTGGGACACTGACGCCCTCCTGCCCTGGGCACTGCTGCAGAAACTGCTGCTCCAGCCCTGCAGCTCCCCCAGAGGCTGCTGCCACCTCCAGGATAGAGGTGACTCCGAGCACGGAGCAGCCCCGCTAGGACCCCATGGCCCCAGGCAGCAACAAACCCTCCAGCAGCCCCTGCTCAGCTGAGCAGGGCTCAGGGCCCCACAGGCTCCCTTGGGGGTCAACTGCAGCCCTTCGCCTCCCAGGCTGTGCCCGGGGGAAGCAGGGACTGGGTCCTGGAGAAGCCAGGTGGGCTCCTCTACTTGTCAATGAGCCCCCCTTCCTTGAGCTTGAAGTAGAAGAACTTCTCCAGCGTGTTGGCACACTTGCAGTAGTCGCTGTCGGGCGGGTTGTACTCGCGGCAGTTGGTGATGATGCGCTGCAGGTCGGCGATGAACAGCTTCTTGGTGACGTAGTAGCGATTCTTCAGGCGCTCCGTCATGGTTTTCAGGTCTGGGGTTGCAGAGTAGGAGAAGAGGGAGACCCGCTCCTGCCTCTGTATCCCCTCCTCAGCCTTCCTGCCTGTCCTTGCCCTCCCACCTGCCCCAGGATCATTGGGGGCAGCTCCCCGCACATCCCAGGACCAGCCATCGACCAGGACACCCCAGCTGGCCCCTCTCTCCTGCCCCTCTCCTTTGCCCTGAGGAGCAGCCCTGCAGCTCGGGCCCCGGGGCAGCCTTCCCACCACATTCCTGCCTCCCGAGGCAGGATTCGGCCGCCTACCGATGGGGAAGCGGATGATTTCGTAGTAATCCGGTGCCTCCGACTTCTTCACAGGCTCCATGAAGGGCCAGGCGCTGGGGTGGGTCTGTGGAGAGGGCAGGTTAAGCGGTGAGAGGAGGAAGGAGGGTGCCACAGACCAGCTCCCACGTAGCAGCAGAGATGGGTGCCTGGGTCAGTGTAACGGGCCAGAGCTGCTCCAGGACAACCTGCCCTTGGGGAGGCTGTCCCAAGGCCACTGGAGGGGACAAACACCAGGGCCAAGGGCACATAGCCTCTGGATACCCTCGTGGCCCAGCTTGCTCTTCCTCACCCCAAACCATCCCCTTCTGCTCCCACACCTTGATCTGGGCCAGAAGGTTCTTCAGGGTGTTGTAAAGTTGGTCCGGATCCTTCAGCTCTTTTCTGGAGGAAAAAAATAAGAGTCCATCAGCCCCAAGCACGGATGGTCTCTCCAGACCAGCAGGCAGCTCTGCGCTGCGGCTCAATCCATTCTCTCCCTTCACATTCCCAACTACAAGGCAAATTCTGCTCCCTGCCAAACTCAAGAGACACCAGCAGCTCTCACCACCCAATATCTAACATCCCACTGTTAATACTAGGCCACCCCTGAGGTCTCAGATAGCCTCTAGGCACTGCCAGGAGCAAAGCAGAGCAGTTGGCCAGGCCCCCAACAGCCCAGCTGACTGTAGGAAACAGTCGTTTTCATTCCCACAGAGACCAGCACTTACCCCTTCTCCTTTCCTAAAGGCTTCCATCCTGTTTCCCCTGGAAGACAAGAGTCAACATGATCACAGGGCTGTGCCCCCAAGCACCCAGCGCCCTCCTGAGTGATCCGTATAGACCCCTGCCTCTCCACAGCCACCCTCCACCTTCCAACAACAGCCCTGCGCTGAGGTTGACCGGGTTGTCCCCACATTACAACCAGCAGCAAATCAAGGGCACAAGTCAGGGCTTGTGATCGTGCAGCCCAGGCCACAGCAGAGGGAGGACTGAGCAAAGCTGCTCCATCCCCTGCAGTGCACGTGCAGGGGTGAAAAAGCTGCAACCTGTTCTCGCAATCCTGCACACAGACCTCATGGGACTGCCATTCTGCACGGTGACAGCACAGCTACCATGGCCACGAGGGGCTGGCACCAGCACTGCAGCCCAGGGAGCTGCTCTGCAGCTAGACACCCTTTTTCTGCTGGAAGGGAGCAAGACTCACGAATGCCAGGGATGCTCTCAATAGGGATCTGCCGCACACCCTCCTTGAAGCAGGTGAGGCCAGGGTAGACCTTGCGGATCTGCGCTTGCTTCCTCTCAATTAACTTCTTGATAATCTGTGGTAGGAAGGGAAGACGTTTTAGGCACTGCAGGACCCACTCTGATGCTCCATGGAGCAAAATTATGATGGGGGCCTTGGCAGATCTAAAGCAACAGGCTGCACCATCTATTTGCCCAAGGCCAAAGGCATCCCCTGCCACTCTTAAGTGCCACCACAACAACCTCTCCCCTTCTTGCAAGCCTTTTTCTAAGAGACTTCAGGAGATGCTTCCCAAGGGACAGCACTCCCCATCAGCTCACCCTCTGCTCTCGAGGGCAGCTCCAACACAGGGAAAAGCCAACAGGAGCCAGGGCAAGCACAGCCTGGAGAGCACCCGCCTGCCCACAGGAGATACCTCCTTCTGCTTCTTGATGATGTGGGAGAGCTCGGTGTAGGGGATCCGGGGGTTCAGCTCACACTCCATCAGGGTTGCCCCCTCATAGTCCTTGATGTAGCCCAGGTAGCGGCTCTTGGGGACCTTGATGTCCTTAGAGAAGCCCTAGGATGGAGAGGGCAGGTCAGGAGCGGCTTGTTAGCAGGAGGGCCGGGCCTGAAGGATGCCAGCACAGAGGAGAAGGACTCACCTGCTTCTTGAAGTAGCCGATGGCATACTCATCGGCGTAGGTGAGGAAGTACAGGATGTTGTGCTTGATGTGGTACTCCTTCAGGTGGTTCATGAGGTGTGTCCCGTACCCCTGGCGGAACAGGCATTGAGACAGGCGTCCCCACTGTCCCCAGGCAGCCTGAGGGTCCCAGGTGAGGACGCACCGTCCCTCTGCCCATAGCCTCTCCTGCACCCCTCCGACAGGTTGGGGCTACATCCATGCACTGCTGTGAATGAGCTGCTAGCTCACACTTCCCTTGCGGCTAGAGCAGGACCTCAAACACGTCCTGTCACCTCTCAGCCCGTGCTAGCCCAGTCTACCCTAGCCCCTCGTCATGTCGTGACTACCACGCTCCGCTTCGAAGCGACCCGTGCCCCCTGCGCACCACCCGCCTCTCCCTGCTTCACCTTCACTTGCTCATTTGATGTCACAGCGCAAAAGACTATCTCTGTGAACCCCTGGGTCGGGAACATCCGGAAGCAGATCCCGCCGATCACTCTGCCATCCTTAATCAGAGCCAGGGTCTTGTGTTTCCTGTTGGCACCAACGCAGAGCGTGAGGAAGGGAGCTCCCCGCAGCAGCCCAGCACACGGGCTCCCCTCCGAGCTACGTACGGGTCGAAGACAAGGCGGGTGATGTACTCCTTGGGCATGCGGGGCAGCTGGTGCGAGAAGACATTCTGCAAACCCACCAGCCACATCAGGATCTTCTTGTTGGACTTCTGCGAGAGCGAGTTGCCGATGACGTGGAACTCGATGATGCCGCGTCTCTCCTCCAGCCGGGCGGTCTCGTCCCGCGCTGCGTTTGCTGACAGCAGGCTGGTCTGGGAGGAGATGCGGGCAGGTTAGACCAGCCCCACAAATACCTCCCTGGGAGAAAGCTTGGGTGCTCGAGGGCCCAGCCAGGCCAGGCAGGCATCCTCCTGGATATCGGTTCCTGGAGAGCACAGGGAACCCTGTGCTTAGCGCTCTGCTCAAATGAAGCACCGCTGTGTGGAGACCTTCTCCCTCCCAGCTCCAACAACACACCATGCAGGTGACAGGGAGCAGCTCTGCACAGGTCAGCGCTGGCACTGGCACTCAGAGGCTGCACTGCCAGCACCTGAGCCACAGATCAGCCCTTTGAAATGCCAGCTTGGGTCCTGGCAACACTGGTAGGAGCTGGCTGCTGCTTCTAGCCAGGTTTGTGGTGCATTTGCAGCATGGCCCCTGCCACTTACCTCGGGGCCCAGCATGGCCGCGGGGTCTGTGATGGTCAGCATGACCTCGTTCACCAGCTCCATGGGAATATCGCCCATGACCCGAATCCGTTTGGCATCTTCCAGCGTGAGGCTCTCAGGCAGCTTCCTCTTCTCACCTGGGAAAGTGGAGCAGCAGGTCAAAGCCAGATGTTAGGACGGAGTCCGCTGGGACCAAAGGAAGTCTCCGCTCCCTCCAGTGCTGGGCCCAGACCAGCATTACCTGGCAGAGGCTCCGGGGTGCTGGAATCCATGTTTGCTGACGAGCTGCTGTTGCTGAGCTTCTTGCTGAAGAGAGGAGCAGCGGGCACAGCAACGGTGCTGACCGCGGCTGGAAGAAACCAACAGTACCCAAGACATGAAGAACCATGTGCATCAGTCCAACCACCCTGAGTGCTCTACAGGCAAAAGCAACACCCACAGCCAGGCTGTTTATCCCAGCAGCCCCCAATGCAGGGCGAACTGCTCCCCAAGATACCTGGGCGAGACACCAGCTGGCCACCTTCTGTGGCAGGGACTGTGAAATCAGCCTCCCAGATAGGCGAGTTCTCCCCATAGATCTCCTCCTCCAGCATGGACAGGAACCTGGGCAGGAACCGGCACGTTAGCTGGTGAGCTGGAGCACGGGCAGCCCCATTGCCCAGCGTGCGGCAGGGCACTCCCAGGGAAGGGAAAAACAGCACCTGGGCAAGCAGCCCTGAGCGAGGAGCCCCTCACCAAATCCCCTTCCCACACTGAGGCACCTACTTGGGGAAGTGGGTGAGGATCAGCGTCCGCTTCTCTGGCACTAGCTTGTCCTTCTCAACCCGGAACTTCTCCAGGAGCTGCCGGCGGGTGACCGTGAAGATGGACTTGAGGAGGCTGCGCCCAAAGACGTGCGTGGTCTCATAGCGGGGAAGGCTGTCGCAGCTCTGCGGCACGTGGCAGTAGCACAACCACCTGGGAAGCAGCGGGACACACACTCCCAGGGATTGTCCACTTGCTAGGGAACAGCACCCATGCTGGGACCAGTGCTGGTACAAGACACCTCCTTGGAAACAGGGGTAGCAGGAATCCAGGGGAGGAGACTGCTTCCAAATAAGAGGCCATGAGCCATTCCCAACCTCCCAGTCATCTGCGGGACATGAGCTGCCCAGCTCAAGGAGAACGTGAGCACCTTGTGACCTCCAAGTCCAGACTCTCCTGTGCACGTGGCAGCACGTGGCCTGCTGGCATACGCACTGTGATGGTTAAGACCACGGAGCAGTGATCCAGGAGAGTGGCTCAAGAGACACAAGCCAGAGTATCCGTGAAGGCGTGAGGCTCACGGTGCTCTAGACACACAGTGCAAGTCATGAACGCTCCAGAACGGCAACCAGGCCCTTGGGGCTGCAAGGTTCAGACACCAGCGCTGCAGGGTGAGGCCAAACGAGACAGGAACCAGAACAGAAGCTTCCTGGTTCCCACTTATCAGTCCCCAAGCCAGCGCGTGCCTAGACTGTGGGGCTGGGAAGAGGCAGAAGACACAAGGAATCACCAGCGAGCCCAGAGCAGCTGTGCAGACCCTGCCCCAGAAGCTGGCTGGGCTCAGACCCTCCTCCTCATCACTCACCGCGTGTAGTTGACCTTGTAGGTAGCCACATCGTCATTCTGGGAGCGCTGGCGGAACTGGGAAGGCGTCTCCAGCTTCCAGTAGTTGAGACAGAGCAGGAACATCTTTGAGAGCTCGTACATGGTCTGCCGCTCCTTGGGTGGCAGGTGGCTGAACTTGTACTGGACAAAGTTCAAGACTCCCTGGGAGAGAGGAAGAGAGGATGGCACCAAACGCATCCCCTGCTAACACAGGGCTGCAGCAGGACACAACCCAGGACGCTGCGGAGGGCTCGAGTTCGGGTGTGCAGTGTGGTGACCAGGCACCACCAAGCTGTAGAAGGACACCCTGTATTTTCACAATATCAGTGGGACTGAAAATCACGAAGTGGGATGGAGAAAGAAGCATCAGTCCCTTCAGTGCTGCATGCAAAGGGCACAAGGAGGCACGTGGCCACTACCCACACGGGAACCACGCACGAGCAGCAAACACAGGACAAGTCATCTGCACAACAGAGCTCTGGCATCACCTGTTCAATGTTCGGTTTCTCAAACGGGGGGCTCCCCAGGGACCCCTCAACTACAGGCTGGCTCATCTGCAGGATACATTTCCTCAGGAGCTGCAAAGACAGCATCAGGCACAGTTAGTGTTTTAATGCCAACGGCCCAAGAAACAGCTCAGGCCCTCAGCACAAAACCAAGCACCGAGAGCCTTTGGCACCAGGCGCATTGCACAGGACAGCGGAGGGAGAGCAAGAAACTGGTCAGTCACCAGCACCACTGGGAGACCAAGCACGGAGCAGAGCTCCTGGTGAGCAGGGAAGGCCCAGCTGTACCTTGAACAGGTAGAAATACACCTGCTTGGTGTCCGTGTCCTCCTCCTTGTGCACGGACATGAAGAGGTTTTCGACGTCCACCACCATGCCCAGCAGCCGGTTAATCTCCTCCTCGGAGACGTTCTCCAGGTGGGACACGTGGTCCGCTGCGGAGGACAGGGAGCTGCTGTGAGACCCTGGGCACGCTGCCGGCCCGGGCAGACCCCGCGGGGCGGCGCCAGGTCCCGGTTCCTGGGCAGGTTACCTAGGGCATGGCTGCAGCTCCGGCACGGCTCGCTCAGGTGCGGTCCCTTGCGGGGGGCGGTGGGCGGGTTGGGTTCCTTCCAGCCATTGCACTTGCAGGCGTCGTTGGCCTGGGATGAGAGAGGGTGTCACGCAGCAGCCGTGCACGTTGCCTCAAGACGAGGCTGTAGGGCCCAGCACCCGCGAGGCTGCAGGGCCCAGCACCCTCTGCACCCCCTGCATGGCCCAGGATTGCCCTCCCACACCCGCTGCATGGCCCAGGACCTCCCTCACGCACTCCCTGCCCATGCCCAGGACCCCCTCCTGCCCCCCTGCTCCATGCACAGCCCTGGATTCCCCTCCTGCACACCCTGCCCATGCATAGCCCAGGATTCCCCTCCTGCACCCCCTGCCCATGCACAGCCCTGGCTTCCCCTCCTGCACCCCCTCTCCATGCACAGTCCAGGATTCCCCTCCTGCACCCTCTGCCCATGCCCAGGACCCCCCTCCTGCACCCCCTGCCCATGTACAGCCCAGGAACCCCTCTCCTTCACCTCCTGCCCATGGACAGCCCTGGATTCCCCTCCTGCACCCTCTGCCCATGCCCAGGACCTCCCCCTGCACTCCCTGCCCATGCACAGCCCAGAACCTCCCCTCCTGCATACCCTGCCCATGCACAGACCAGGATCCCCCGTCCTGCACCCCCTGCCCATGCACAGGATTCCCCACCTGCACCCTCTGCCCATGCCCAGCCCAGGACC